CTCACTGCTTCATTAAAGTTGTTTAAAGTTGATTTTCACTACTCCTATTGATAATTTGATATTCTAATCAATCCATCTTTTAAAGGTTGAAAGTTATGTATACTTTAGACACATCAAATTTATTGTAAAAGAAAGCAGCATAACTTACGAGAACCACAGTTCATGAAGATGAAGACATTTTCCCCCCTTCAGGGTTAGCTTACAACACTAGCTGGAGGATTAGTGTACTCTTTGTAGAGGTCATACAGAATTTTATTCAGTGCTAAAGTAGCAGCAAAAAGAAAATCTGTCACTACTAATTCAAGACAACCTCAAAAGCCATCTTTCTATTGATGCAATAGATGTTTCAAAAGACAATGGGTTTATCATGCTAAATCTACCCTCACATATCTCAAGTAATGGTACGTGTGGGTTATCGGGACACATCGCTTTAAAAATAGGTTAGGTTAATGTGTGTGGATAAATGACATATACTTGAAAGTTATTATATTTTATTTCAATAAATGACAAATTATTATATTTTATTTGGATATGCAGGTCCAGATATTCGACTCTCCCGTTTTTGTGTCCCGATAACCAACAAGTACCCAAGTAATCTTCAGCCTTTGGGTGTGGAAGTATTCTATTCATTCAAAGGACATCAATCAGCATCAAGTTCTAAAATTCTTTACAACAAAAGAGTTCTATTGCAGCTGGATGCATCAAAACTGCCTATGACAAAGCTATGATACATGTTAATATTTCTTCTACTTTCAAGAGGACTGGGATCTTTCCATTTTATCCACATGTTTTTGGTAAAGATGAAATTTTGAAGTATGTTTCCCCATCAAAACAGAGAAAAAGATATTTGAAAATAAAGAATAGATTACTAAAGGTATTAAAACATCTTGTAAACATAAACAAGATCTTTATCTAAATTTCTGAGCTAGTAACAACCAAATAATGAAAAGTCACGGCAGTAATTATTGCAAGATATTAACTCGAGTCATTAAAGAGGCTAAACGTGTGCATTACAATACACAGATATTAGAGTCAGATAAGAAAGTAAAAGAAGTCTGGAAAATTATGAAAAAGGGGACAGGTAAATATTCTACAGAAGAAGTGACTCCATCAATAAAGACAGAGAATAATATAATAAAGAATCTTAAACTCATAGCATATTCTTGCAGTACTTACTTCTTAACAATTATAGTAAGAATTAACAATGACGCTACAACCATAACAACAGAATGCAACAAAGTAACTTGTTTAAGAAATCCCTAAACCTTTCCTTATTAACAAATTAAATTAAAAGCATAATAAATTCTCTCAAATCAAAAAATTCATGTGGTTATGATGAAATATCTACAATATGACTAAAAAGCTGCACAGACCAGATTAGTGCTCCTCTAAGTTATCTGTGCAATCAATCAATGGCAGTAGGAGCTTTCCCAGAATGACTCAAATATTCAAAAGTTAAACCTCTACATAAAAAAGCTGAAAAATCTTGTATGTCTAATTACAGACCAATTTAATTACTAACAGCATTCTCTAAAATATTTGAAAAAGTTATGTATAAGAGAGTGAGTTCTTAAACTCGAACATCTTTGCAGGTGAACAATTTGGATTTAGAAAACATCTCTCAACTGATAAAGCCCTGTTCAGTTTTAGAGATAAAATCTTGAGTGCACTAAATAATAAAGTGTATGTTGGTGGAATATATTGTGCTCTTGCTAAAACATTCAATTGTGTAAATCATGAATTATTACTACCAAAACTAAATTTTTATGGAATTCAAAATATAGCTGGCAAGTGGTTAAATCATACCTTCATGACAGAAAGCAACAAGTAGAAATAAAATCATCAAATTCAAATTATAGCACCTATTCAAACTGGGGCATTGTAAAATATAGAGTGCCTCAAGGTTCAATACTTGGTCCTCTGCTTTTTCTCATACATATCAATGATCTGCCCCCAACCATCAACTATCATTCTAAACCTATACTCTTTGCTGATGATAATAATATTATTATATCACATCCAGAAATTGACTGTTTTCAAAATTGCATAAATGATGTCTTTGAATAAATGGATTACAGCCAATAAACTCACACTCAATTTTGACAAAACAAATTTCATCAAATTTTGTACTAGCAACAGAACTTGTGTAAATCTAAATATAGGGTATGATGATAAAATAATAGAAACAACTAAATTTCTTGCCCTTCAAATTGACAACAAATTAAACTGGAAAACACATATTCAACACATTATCCCTAAACTAAGCTCGGCATGTTTTGCTATGAGGACAGTTGCAGCAATCATGAAAACAGAAACTTTAAAATTAGTTTATTTTGCTTACTTCCATTCCATCATGTCATATGGAATCATTTTCTGGGGAAATTCAACGGACAGCAAAAATATATTTTACATTCAAAACAGGATCATTAGAATAATGGTAGGTGCTAAAAGGAAAGCCTCTTGTAGAGAATTATTTAAGAAGTTCAATATTCTTCCACTACCCAGTGAATTCTTGCTCTGTTATCATTTGTTGTGGATAACATGGAAAAATGTTGAACAAATTCAGATATCCACAATATAAGAACAAGATACAGATACAGATACAACCTTCATGTGCCAAATTCTAACCTCAGTAAATATGAAAAAGGAGTTTATTATACTGGTATTAAGTTATTCAATAATCTTCCAAGTTTAAATCATGATATAAAAATGTTTAGGCCAGCATTAAAAGAGAATCTCCTATCTCACTCATTCTACTCAGTAGAAGAATTTACATCACCAAACAAGTCTCAGCTATTATAAATACATGTATGTAATAATGGTGATGGTTTCTCATCATAATGATTTTGCTGTAATACTGTAGTTCCAAAAATCTGTAAATAGCTGTTATAACTATGTATTTATGTTCGTACTAGAAACAAGTATTCTATTTGTGCTATGACCTGTTCTACATCCTTGTCTTATGCCTATGAAGGATCTATGGAACGTAAATAAATTCTATTCTAGTTTTACCCCAGCTTTCCTGCAAATGTTAAAATGTAACTGAGTACAGACACGATCATATCGTGGTATATATTGCTCTTTTGCCAGCACTAGACATCGAGACATAACGTGATCTGTAGTTTCCTGAAATTGCTGACATAATCTGCATTATTATTCAGTTGTTTGGTTTGTCCACAAACAGCCGAAAACTTCGCGCTTTCGACCGGAAGACCTCTAAAAATTGCAGACCACGTGAAACTACAGCCACTGCTCGAACCACGAGATGGGCGTCTACACTGAGTTAGGATCGTGGGCACGCAGTAGTCGGAGCGAACCGAGCAGCGCGGTTTTTTGAATGCGGCTGAGCAATGCTTCAGCGTTACGCTGGCATACCGGATTAAGATTGATGGTTCATCATAGCAACCAAAATGGAGAACATCATATCCATTTTAGTGAAGGAATTATCCAGCATTCTTTCTGCTGACTAAGGTAACGTGTGATTTGGGAGCAGTTTGTACACAAACATCTTCAAGTCATGGCATGTCACAACTGAACTTCTCCATCGTTGTGCGCTTCATCGTGGTGTGCATGATTAAAAAAGATGGATAATACAAAATATTTTGTTTGGTGCATCTACAAATTTTCACTAGTCAGTTTACTGGTTTTTTTACACAGTAGTGCTTATTTTGAGAAGTAGTTTGTGATGGCTGCTTGCTTTTATGAACTGTTTAGACTCTTCCTCCTGGCAGTATAAATTCTTGTGACAGCCAAATTGTCAGTGTATTTGAACCCTATGTGACCCATTTAGTCTAGTAGTGAAATGCTAATGCCATTACGACTCATGATCACTGCTTTCTCCATCCTCACCATTCTGATCCTTCTTTTCCTTTTGTTTTGCGGTGCATCGACAATGTTTGTGTCTGTCAATATGTTGAAATCCTAGTTCATATTGTGGACCTTAACTTAAGTGGCGGTAAAAATAAGATGATTGTACTGAGAGCAAAACAAAAGCTCAGTTTGATTGAAAAATCTGAGAATAGGGAAGTCAGACCACCTGTAGCATTCCTTCCCTCCCATGACCACTAGAATAAACCTCACCATTCCACCGCCAATACTAAATGTGAATAACCAAGAAAGTTACTGTTCAGCCACATTTTCTGTGGACATCATGGCATAGAAAGAGGATGAAGGCTCACTTTACATGTCTGCGTTTAAGTAAGAAAAACATACGAATAGTTACACATAGATATTCCACAAACTGGATAATGTCCACACAGATAAATGGAAGCATACTGTACCTGTAATTTGTAAAGGGGAAATTAAACTAGAGAAATTAATAAGTTTTATATTTGATTATTAAACCCACATACTGGGGCAACTGTCAGATTATTACTCACTGATGCAAAATCTGGAGGACTGATTTTTGGAAAAATAACCATATTATAGGTACCAAACTACTAGTTACAAAATACATATAATTCCATCAATATAGCAAAATTTACCAGCATCATTTAATTTTCAATACAATAACTTACAGATTAATTAGACTTTGTAAATTTCCTGTATTTAACTGATTTTCTTGTTATTCCTTTCAACCATCTAGGGTTTGCAGACCTGTGGTTTTAATATAGTTATGTGCCGTAATCAACTCAATTATGTAATACTGACCTTACTGGGTTTCAAATTTTTCACAAGCTGTATGTTATTGCTTGCATTCTCTATGTAAAGCTTTGCAGCTGTGGATCCACTCACTGCATTAGTGTAATACTGAAGACTCACACAGAGCTGCGAAGAGCGTGGTTGAAACCAAGGACTTGTCAGATTTTTCTTCACCAATCCATAAGTATCTGGATTTTAGATATTGGATAAGAATGAATCAATCAATCAAGTATACTTGGAAGACCATTACAACTAAGAATGAAATAAAAGAGACCCCTGGAATGACTCAAAACAAGATTGTTCAGACAGGTGCTAGTATAGAGGGAAGATTGCAAATATAGAACAGAATGGAGCCTTTTTGTCCATAGACCCATATAAAACATATAATGCCAGAAGAAGAAACTTGGTTATTGAATATACATACAATTCCAAAAAAACAATGTGGCACAATATAAAATACCATTCTGATTTTTTTAGCACATGCAGATATTGTTTCTTGCATGTACAGTATGCTTAATTCGGCCTGTTAAGTGCAGGCTTACAATAAAATATCAATAAACTTCGAGCATTAATAATGATAAACCAATTTACATACTGATTTGTTTACTTTGTTTAATTTGGTTATAGGACAAAAGAAGTAAAGTAACACACATACTAATGGCTGACAACTGATTGTGCACCAACCAAGAAACGGACATTGCAGCTGCTGAATTATGGTGATATTATAATCAGGAGTTCAAGAATGTTGTTATCAAAGAATGTGTGTGTGCATGCATGCGTATGTGTAGGTTTTGATTGTATTGTAATAATATTTATAGTAATGCACACAAACAGTACTTATAGTTAAAATTGTTTCGTAACTAAGGTTTGGAAGAGACATTGAAATACAGAACAAATTAAACATGTTTACCAACTTCTATAATATTTACTTATGTTACTAGGTATCTGACTAACTCTACAAGAGGTGACGGTGCCACAGGGATCTTACTGTAAATGTCAACTGCTTTGAACTATTTGGTTCAATACTAGCACTAAGATGGAATATTACAACATTAACATTGGTTGTTATGTTCATAGAAATGGAAGCATAAAATTAATAAAATATTCCTGATTAATATTATTGTGTGATATTTATATATCCTCGAATGTTTCCCTACTTATGGGACTCAAATTTCATTCCCATGTTCACATGAGCCCACTACTAGTCCACATTCTGAGCCAGATTAATTCAGTCCACACCTTAGCAGCCTGTGCCCCTGAGACCCATTTTAATATTATCCTCCCATTCACATTTAGGTCGTCCAAGTGGTGTCTTCCTTCAGGCTTTCCAACAATAAAATTTGTATGTATTTCTCATGTATCCGTGTATGCTACAAGTCCCAACCATCACATCTTTTGAAGTAGATCAAACACATGAAACACTAAGCAATGAGAGGCCCCTGATGTTGGTGTGTGCTTTTCTATGTGTTAGAAACTATACGATGGAAGGGTCCTGTTCATAATATGTTGCCAACCTCCTGTAAAGGAGATGGCGTAATAAAGAAGAAGAAGAAACTGTACCAAGCAAAACTGACTCTCAGATGATATATTGTATAATGGGGGAGATAAGTTTGTTGAACCTATCTTTGTGTGCATGTATTGCAGAAACAAATAACTCTATAGTCGTTTTCCATGAAAGTTTAAAATGCGGGCAAGCAGACAGCACAGAGATGTGTGTCTTTCCTGGAGCAGACATTGCATGCGAACCTGTGTACATCAGAAATTCTCATGTAAATGGCATTAACATTCCTTTGGAGCAAATGCATACTGAAAGGTCAGAGAGAAGAATATGGATAATCAAAATCAATGGAATGTTTAAAGGAGATCTTTTTAATCTTACATAATTCCACTTTATCATTCCCCTCAGCAGTGCCAGGGAAATGGCATGCAAATCATATGTTTTCAAAGAAGACTTGCTATGGTTGTATACATTAGTACAATCAGCATATTTTCTTCACACAGAAAAATCTCATAAAGGAACAAAAGCATTAAAAATTTGCTTTAATCATATCTTAATGACAATACTAAATTACTCACAATTCTGGATTCGAAAGTAAGCACGTGTTTCTTGTCCACTCCGAACATTTAGAAACTCTGGAGACAGAGGTTCTTTGTCTTTATACTGAAGAAATGGCTGATCCTCACCAGCAACTTTCACTTTCAGTTCTTGATATTCTTTTGTGGTATTGTAGGTTATTGTCACATGAACCCACTTTTCATTTGTCACCACACGGGTCTGATGAAAGAATTAACTCAGTTTATAAAGGTGGAAGAAACTTAGTGGGCAAATAAATATGAATGTGTATGCAAACTAAAATGTCTTTCTCTATGACGCACTATTCTGATCCTCCTTCCTAATATTGAGCCATTATATATTATTTGTTCCAGTAGCTTGTGTTGATATTTTCTGAACTTCAATTAAATTATGTTAAGAATACTTTGTTATAGGAACAGTGAAAGATACACACACTTGAGAACTATTTGTATTCGTAATTCTCTATCCTTTATGGCAGTATTCTTGTCATCTATTGACTATTCATGTTGTATACAATATGCCATGGTGAGTAACATAACGGAATGTATCATTTCTCTATGGTGATGTCCTCTGATAGTATTAGAATCACAGTAATGAAACTTTAAGAGAGCTCATTAGAATCAAAGGAAATTTCTGAGATTGACACCAGCTATTCATCATACAATTTTGTTTTGTAAATTTAATATCTTTTCACTGTTAAATGAATTGACAAAAAAAATTCATGGTTCATTATGGAGTAAAATTAGGCAAAATAAACTGATTCAAGTGCGTCAGTGTTGCTGACATGCAACTTAGATCTACCTGCATAACATGCTCCACTTAACATAGGTATCAGTTTATCAATTTTATTTGTCTGATTTAGATGGTTATCAATTTGCAAACCCTGGAATTTTGTATCTCTGTTTCTGTGACTGGAATAATGTTAAAGCCAGGAAATTTTAGAGGAAATGTATCTTCAAAAAATGAAATAACATCTCTCCCATTTGATGTAAATTTTAGCTTTCAGTAATTTTTACAAAGAAATTAAATACATTATTAACTGTTCCTTGATCATTTATTTTCTATTGCTTGTAAGAATAAATGACATCTGTTC